TGCAGGTAGTCAGCACAGTATTGAAGTTCCCTGGCGTCATAAGCCTCAGCCCTATTTTCAAGAAAGCAGGATTTCTGCTCTCTCTGGTTCTCAGTCTATTTTTAGTTGTATTTACACACAAGAGTCAATTTCTGCTACAGCCTCTGGGTGGTAGTGTTTCTGTCTTAATATCCTAGGCTAACAGGCCTCTCTACCCTGGATCTGTGCGCAATTCTGTGTGACTCTGCGCAGCCGAGTACTGCAGGCTGCCTTTCTGGGTCCAGTCCAGCTGTGGGTTAATATCTAGAATCCCCTTCTGCCAGCGGCCCTGCGGACCCCCTTCCACATTCGAGGGCTATACTGACCCCAACAGCCGCGAATTCTGTGGGGGCAGTTTTTCTCTGAGACTCTAGTTCTCACTGTGCGTGTTTCTCCCTCTAGCTTGGATCCCAAATCTCACCTTTCTTTAGGCCATGCCAGCTGTGTTTAATTCGCCAGTTGCGGGCGGGTGCTCTTAGATACAGCTGTTCCTTCTGCTCTGTGAGAAGGCACAGGGCCCATCCACGTTTGTCTTCACCAGAGCAGACCTCCCAGGTGCCTGTGGTCAGGGAGGTTGGAGTTCTGGTGTTCGTGGATTCGTAGTTGAGGTAACTGGTCCCTGGGCAATGGTTGTAAGGTCCCGGGAGGCATCCGTGATCTCCCCGGTTGAAGGTCAGGCTGGGGTTCCGATCACAGTCTCCACAGCGGTCTCCCCTTCAAGATGAGTGGCTCATCTGAGGTTCTCTTTTGAGTAATGTAATAATGGTCTTATTTTAACATGAGGAGAGTGTTAAATTCTCAGAGGTGTTTGATCTATTTTTGGGTGTGAGAGAATCTTAAAACAATACTTTTTAATTCTCAAGGTAAGGAAACTGAGTCCCAGAGAGAACTCTGGTCCCTAACTTGTGAGCCGCAGGCCAGCCCCAGCGCACACACACCTCTGCCTCAGATACATGTATTTTGTCACACTGTCTCCTGAACTAACATTTATTATTGGCTTTTATGTACTTCAATAAAATGCTCTTGCTTCAATATTACAGAAGGCAGTATGTCTTAATGTAGAAAATAAATAGTAGAAACAGAAATCTTGGCAGTTTTCATTTCTCAAGGAAAAAGACTAAAATCTTATTTTAAATATTTTAGATTGTTATAAAGGGAATTTATTATAGGTGTTTGCCAAGTTGGATTATAGGTAGTATGTTAAGGGCAGCATTTTATGACCCCTTCGTCAATTCTCATCGTTGGAAGTGAGAGCATGTAGTGGGTTTACGGTAGACCTGCACATGGTATTGCACTGAAGCAGTTCATAGAGTATGAGAACAATTGTACTGCTTAAGTGTTTGACATTTTAACCAAGGAAAAACACACTTTTATAGGTTTAACTTACCGTGATATTTTCTTCTGTTCCCCTTCCCATTCAGGTGTCCCCTGGTCACCTTAGGGAAAAGTACAGCTCGTGTGCTACACTATTTGTAGACAGCACTATTTCTCAGCCTGATTTGAAAGTCACCTTGCAGTGGTGAGTACAAATAGGGGACAGACCCCTTATCCTGCCCATATGTACTTTCATTTGATTGTCCTTTTCAGTGCTCAGGTTAAAAAACTGGTGTCAATTATATATTGATTTCCACTTCCATTTTAATCTTAGAGTGAATGGAAGAAGGGAAACCCACTTAACAATTAAAAAATCTCCCCAAAGTGTTCTCTTTACTGGAGGCATTACTGTTCCTGAGACACAGTTGAACACAATGAAGGGAAAGGTGCGTTTTACTGAATGTTTCTGGAATAAAGTATTTCTTCATGAGATACAGGCCTAAAACCATGTGTACTACTACCCTGGAAGCTGCTCTTGAAAGAAGGGACAGCTTGCCCCCTACTGGCACCAGAGTGTATCTGCAATTACAGTTCATTGGATTGTGTCAGATTTTCCCCCTCATACTTTCCTTTTTCCTGCACTATTTCTATATTGAAATGCACTCTCCTTCCAGGAAAAATGCATCAAAGCAGTCTTAAGAAACAACTTTTCAAGATAATTTCTTTGAGGGTTAAATTTGTTAAACTTAGGTTTTAATTTTATAGACATATTAAATTTAGTTATGTATATATGTATAGATATATAAACACATCTTCAAGACACTACATTATATCGATCCATATATAACAAAATCAAAGCAGAAAATCATGAAGGAGGTGAAGTTTGGAAACATAGTCACAGTCAGGTTTACGCTTAGGCAAACATAACAGTGTCATGATAATGAAAACTATTCATTAAATTCTTTGAGATGCACTTTAAAAACACCCTAATATGAAACCTTCAAGCTCACTTAAGAGCAAAATAAAACCAAACAAGGATGTAGAGCTTCCTGAATCCCATTGGCGTTGTCCAAGGATCATTATCGGTGTCTCCCTGGGATGTGAGGGTTGACTTTCCAGAACACAGTTCGGGAAATTCTATCTGAAATAATTAATATCCTCATTCCTAATTTTATTTTTCAGTCCTAAAACATAATTTATTTATAAACTTAATTTTGCTTATATTGTACCAACTTTTTGGCTAATTAAATTCTCAGTAACTTCTACTTTAATTAAAAACAGCCAGTTCACAATCATAATAATGTAAGTTTCTTCTCTCATAACAATAGTTGAGATCAAATTGAGCTTCAGCAAAACTGGAGCCCGCCTCTCTCTAAAGTCCTGAGCTTTGGCACCCAACTCACAATCACTAAGTCTTTTTCTTCAGTCTGGCCACTAAATCCGGGAGTAAAAAACCAGTCCTTTCTGGCTGCATTTCATAGCTTCTTTTGAGTTCATAAGAGTCTGATGTTACAGTATATAATTCAAAACTAGTTTCAAAGATTAACCTTTCTTAGACAAATGGGTGTTATGCTTTTTTTCCTTCAAATTCGTCTAATTTTTGGAAGACCAGTAAATTTGCATTTGTTCTCATCAGGTTTTGAAAATGATCATTCAGTACATTTACTGTTGGTAAAATAAAAGTTTCTTGAGAATATTAATAGAGCTCATTGGCCCTTAGGAATGGTTTTGAAAAAACGTTTATTGCGGGCTGGTAGTGCATTGTTCTCAATGGGATGGGTGAGCCTTATTAGAATCATTTATGCAATTTTTATCTAAATGTGTCTCTAAACACATGCATTCCATTTCTCCTTCCCTAACACACTCTGTCACTCTCACAAGCCTTCTGATAAGCTGAGGAGGGATGGAAGGCATTTTTATATGGAGAAAAGCATCTGGGATGATTTTGATTTTAATTCTAATTCATGAGTTCTCAAACTTTGGTGCACTTTCCAATCACCTGAGAAGCTTTCAAAACAACCCCAGGTCATACCCAATGCCAGATGAATCAGGTCAACTCACAGTTGGGGGAGGCATTTTGTCAAACTCCTCTGAGGACCCCAATGCACAGCCAAGCCTGGGAACCACACTGCCTGGTTAGAGGGCAGAAGAAGGAGAAACTGCTTCTCACTCTTGGTGGGACCTTGTCAGTTTTAAGCCTTGGTTACCTTTTCTGTAAAATGGGTTGTTGAATTAAATATTACAAGTTCATTGGCTCTTTTCAGCTTCTATACTTAAAATTCTGTGATTTTAAAATCAATTTGAAGATGAAACTGAAACACTATACAAGTACCCATCTTTGATGCCAACAAGGCTACAGGCCTTTTTACAAGTGCTAATATTCTATAACCTAGTTATAAAATTCAGATTTGCTTCCCTCAATTATTTTGAGCTTCATATTAGACACTGAGGGCAAAGAGGAAAAGCATGGAACTTAATCTACAGCGCTCCTTTGTTTCATGTTACACAGCATCTGGGAATAACTTTAGGGATATAGTAACTTACACAGTACCTAAGGACTTACATCTGCTCATTAAATTATATTTAAAGTAATTTGGAAATAAATGTTACTAATATTACACTGTGTATTACTTGCTGCATTGCTAGCACTGCTAATTGTAGAATTGTTATAACTATTGATTTTGTGGGTTCTACCATTTGCCATTAAATTTTCTAACAATTATGTAAAAGTGACCTTAAATAATTCTGTTTGGTAGAGAGCATTCTATTTACCTTTATGGAAATGACAGACAGTGGGTGGGCTGGTGGAAAACTACTATATGGCTTAAATTGAAGCATGTGCACAAATAGATCTAACTTGTAGAGGATGAAAGGTTCTGTGGGTAGAAGAACAAATGACAGGGGAAATGTGTAATATCTTATATATTATAATAATCATTGGAAACATGTCTTCTTACTAAATATGCCTCAGCATTTTGGTTTTCTAATTTTGCTAAAAGATAAAGAAATAGAACAAGGTGAAGAGTGCCCATGTGATACTGTCCTGAAAGAGGATATCATGGCCACTGGGCAGGTGGGAAGGTCTTCCCCCACCACAACCCTTTTAAAACATGTCTTCAGCCAAGACATAAAGTCAATTGTTACTTTTTCTTTTCTCCACAGCCTGGCATTAGCAATATATCATCACATAAGGAACAGGTGAGTTTAAACCCTGTCTTGTTATTCTAGCTAATAAACTTACAAGATATGAAGTCAGTGTGAGATTTTAACTATAGACATTGTTGGAGTAAGGTATGGTGCTGTTATTACATTATTAAAGGGCTGATGCACGAAATCCATGCAAGGAGCTTGGCCCTCACAGCCCCGCCTTGCCTGGGTCCTCACAGGAGCCCCAGAAGGTCGCTCTGTTGTCTGGTCTAATTAGCATATTATGCTTTTATTATTATAGATTGAAGTGAATCACTTGTTTTTGACTTAGGAGTCTTAATGCTTAAGTTATTGAGGATCCCAAAGAATATTTGTTTATGTGGACTATATTGATATTTACTGTATTAGAAATTAAAATTGAGACTTTAAAAATAAACCCTATGTATGTTGAAACATGGTTTTTATAGCACTGTTGAACTTTTGAGCAGGATACTGCTTTGCTGTGGTGGATTGCCTTGTGCATTACAGGATGTTTACAGCTTCCCCGGCCTCTCCTCACTAGATGCCAGTAGCACCATCTCCCCAGGCCCCATTTTGACAACAAAAAATGTACCCACCATGGCCGAATGTTTCCTGGGGGGCAGAAATACCCCTGATAGCGAGCCATAGTGTTAACATAATTCTTTATAAAAGAGAATCATTTTCCACAATAAATTGGTTGAATGGAAACTGTGTCACTTATTTACATTTTGCAAATCTCTTTATGTCTGGTGTAACAGAAGACAGCTGATTCTCATGTCCACTCTGTCTTCACACCTTCGTGATTACTCAGTCATCTCAATAATTTGTTTTGAATAAACAATTGAAGACCCAGCCTCATGTAGCTTTATGGGCATATTTTTAAAGCCTTCAGAAAATTGTGTATATTCTTTGATACTTTACTAAAAGTCCACAAGAGCTGGCTTCTTAAATTAGTTTCATGAACTTGTACTAAGGCCTCTTTTAAATTAGTATCCATTCATATATCTTGTATGCTGAATGAATCTTTTTACTTGTAAGTAATTTTGTAATATTATGTATTAATCACTTGGAAAGTATTGGTCCACATTTCTGTATACACTATCAAAACTCACTTTTGTTAGTTAGCGTCTTTATCACCACCACTCTTCCCAGAAAACCATTAAGTATTGAAAAGCTGTCAAGCTCACAAAAAAGGTACAAGTTTGTCCTATTCTTGATTTTCAGCTTGATAGCTGGAATTGTGCAATGGGCAAGAAATATATAAGTTATTTTCCTTGAAGTGACAGGCTCACTTTTCAGTTTTGAGATTATGACACCTGTACTATGAACTAAAGATGTTATTATATGAAAACAGTAGCTCATTCAGCTCACAACTAAGTTAAAGTCCAAGTGCTTTTCCTTAACACACCCACATTTCAGTATGCAGAAGTGCTTAATGCATACTTCCCCTTACTCAGAATATAAAAGAAGGATCAATATTTAATAGCATTATTCATTGTTAATTCTTTATCAAAGATGTGCTTAAGTAAAGCATATTTCTTGTCAACAAGTGGCAGTGAAGAATAGAATGACTACTAGCACAGGGCGGGACCCGTGCCTTGATTCTCATTCAGAAACCAGTTTTACTGACTTTTGCTTTTATACAGTCATTGCAAATATCAGTGTAAATGCAGGCAGTGCCTTAATACTTCTATACAAACAGTTTTGGCCTCATGGGTCTCCTGAAAATGGTCTAGTGCAGCGGTTCTCAACCTGTGGGTCGAGACCTCTTTGGGGGTTGAACGACCCTTTCACATGGGTCGCCTAAGACCATCGGAAAACACATATATAATTACAAATTGTTTTTGTGATTAATCACTATGCTTTAATTATGTTTAATTTGTAACAATGAAATTGGGGGTCACCACAACATCAGGAACTGTTTTAAAGGAAGGTTGAGAACCATTGGTTTAGTGGAACCACTGAAGCCTGCAAAACAGACTTGGAGAAACACTGTGTAAATGAGCAGAGTGTATTAGTGTGAAGAATTAAACTTAAAAAAAAGAGAAGCAGCCTGGTTTCCCTGGCACAGTTGGTTGGAGCATCGTCCTGTACACGACAAAGTGGCAGGTTCAATTCCAAGTCAGGGCAGCACGTACCTAGGTTGTGGGTTCAATTCTGTCAGGCCACATACCTAGGTTTCTGGTTCGATCACCAGTCCAGCATTTGCAGGAGGCAGCCAATCGATTTTTTTTCTCTCTCTATCTCTCTCTAAAATCAATAGACTGTTCACTTTTAAAATAAAAAGGCAAGATTTTTAACTCATACTATTTTAAAGAGACCAGAAGAAATACATAGTAAGAATATAATATAGGAAAGTGATAAGAGAAAACAAACAGTGAAAAAAACAGGAACTCATATTCACCATGAATGCTTGCCCACCACTACTGCTTTATAAAATGTTCCTGGGTCTGCCAATGTGAGCTTAGAGGACTGGCCATCGATTTGATTGACTAGCATTGCCTATTAGGGAGGGTCAATGCTTATAAAGGCAGCTCTGGCAGGTCATTGTAGAAAAGATTTCACAGAATTTGATGTGCTGAGTAAAAAGAGGTCAGAAAATTCCTACAGGATCTAAGAGAAGAATTTGTAGAAGGAGTTTCTTTGTTGAAGGTTAAGCTCCCTCCACCCCTCTCTACTCCCAGCAGATGTGTTGCTAACAGAACAATTCTTGGATTAGTTTTTAAAATCACGTTCTTATTTTCTAGAGATGCAAATAGATCCAAGGACATTTTTGATGAGAGGATCCATCCTTTCACAGTAAGTGCCAGTTGTATTGAGGTTGTCTTTTTCTCTCAGACCATTGTCTTCATTCCCAGCTGCTTTGCTTTGAAATTAATCACTGGTAGAAAATTACTCCCTCCAGCTTGGAGTCAACATTATCTTCCTGTAGGTTTTCTTCCCCACCCCATGTTGTATCTAATAATTTAACAAAAGGAATGTTGTATAAGAAATATGTCAGCAAGACCTGAGTTTCAGCTTTGTATACTAGTAAGTAGTGAGCTAAAATGAATCAACATACCCCCAAAACAAAAAATGTATCTTTAAAAAAGCTAATTGCATAATTTTTATCATCATGCAATACAAATGTTTATAAATAGATATGTGAAAGATCTCTATGAATAAAAATTAAAAAACTATTTAAATTAATTAGAACTACAGAAACATTTTTAACTCACTTCCTCAGACATGCTCTATAGCACAGTGTGGCTGTGACCCTAAACAGCACAGCACAGCCTTAGAGCCTGATGGTTACAGGAAACTGAAAGCACATTTTTAGAGTTGATCGCAGAGCAGTATGACATGGCGACAAGCATGTCTTTTGAGCCTAAAAATAGTTTGCATTTAGACTGAATCCTGTAGGGGGAAGGTGGAAAGGAATATACAGTTTCTGAGGTTGTGCCTGTATTTATCTTTAGTGAGTGTTGGTATTCAATCACTATTGTTTTTTAAGGTCCCATTGTTTATATTTAAAAGACTAAGAGACATGTCACCCAATCAAAATTATTTTAAGCGGCACGTGGGCACAAGTGGCAGACTGCTGCCATAAAAGTACTTAAGCATTTTTCTTCAGTGGATACTTACATTGCATTTTTTCTCTTTTCAGCAGAACACGGTTCAGGAGGAGCACTTTACACACAATCCTGACCCTGAATCTATTTACCGATTTATTCACCCGTTTTTTATCTCTATAAGTGTAACAGCCGGTTACGCAATATCAACTTTGGTAAGATAGTTCTTCTATCAGAACTTTATTAAGGGAAACCTATCAAAGGCGGTAAAGTTCACACATTTGATAATAATCACTATGATTAAAAATGTCCTTGCTTTTCTCACCACAAAACAATTGCTATTAAAGGCAGCAGGAGGGAGAGATTTCCAATTTCTCCCTCCAGACCTCAGGAGACACACTCAGCGCACACAGGCACACATACAAGTTGTGCTGATGGGGCAGGATGGGGGCAATAACAGAACCTTCTGGGCCCCAGGCAGTGACAGGTTCAGTGTAGGTCTAAGGTGAGTCACAGGCTGCATTCCCCACGCTGTTGTAATGTGTGTCCTGACTGAGAACTAGAGCCCTAAGTTCTCTGTTCCTTGGATGATGGGTGTTCATCCGTCCTTGCTGTCCTCTTGTGCCTACCTGTGACGTTGCCAGGATTCTAGTGCCAGTAGGACCTGAAAGGGCTTTGGTAGTTGCCTGCTCAGCTACAGCTGTGTCATTCATCCAGAGAGACATAGGCACACCAGTGCACAAGACGCACACATACAAGGTGTGCTGATGGGGCAGGATGGGGGCAATAACAGAACCTTCTGGGCCCCAGGCAGTGACAGGTTCAGTGTAGGTCTAAGGTGAGTCACAGGCTGCATTCCCCACGCTGTTGTAATGTGTGTCCTGACAGAGAACTAGAGCCCTAAGTCCTCTGTTCCTTGTATGATGGGTGTTCATCCGTCCTTGCTGTCCTCTTGTGCCTGCCTGTGATGTTTCCTGGATTCTAGTGCCAGTAGGACCTGAAAGGGCTTTGCTGGTTGTCTGCTCAGCTACAGCTGTGTAAGGGCCTGTGTGTCATTCATCCAGGATTCCTGTGGAAAGAGGGTGTCATTTGGAATGAGTGGTCCATTCTAGTGAGAAGGAATGGAGATTGTACCACTCCTCCCTCGGCCAATCCTAAAGGGGAAAGTCTCCTGCTTGGTCCAAAGGAAGAGTACTTAGTGAAGTGCCTCCTCCTTCAGTGTTCAGTCAGAATTTTGGAGAGGCAGCCTGTGCTTCTGAATAGAGACCCCTCAGTGGGCACTGGACCAGACACAGGCCTTTCCATGGAGCTGCCAGCCATCTGGAGTGCTGAGCACAGCTGATCAAAGGCGTGAGTGGTGCTCCCACCTGGAGAGCTAGGGAACTCAGCAAGGAGAGCATCTGGGGTAGAAGAGGGTGGGTCCTTTGCAGACACTTTAAGCTCGATGCACCTGAGACAGAGGGGCATCTTCTAGGGAGCGTGTGAATATATGGAATTAGAGCATGAATCTGACTGGAGGCAGGGGATTAGCATTAGCTATTCCAATGCCGAGAAAGCATGTGAATAAAAAGTACATGGAAGGTGCTCGCTTCGGCAGCACATATACTAAAAAGTACATGGAAGATAGAAGAGTGACAAGAGCAGATATTCAGTGGCTATTCATGGAATGAGCAACTTCTTGGCAGCATTGAGCACTTTGACCTCACTCTCCTTCTGGAACCTCCCTTATCTTCCTTCTTTTTTACTGTTTTCCTCTGGTTTTGCCACCACGCTAAGCCACTCCTGGTGACTTCTCCCTTCAGAACTGAGTCCTTACAGATCTAAGTGCAGAGGATAGAGGAGAGACATTGTTGAATAAAGTGTTTGCTTTTATGGAGCTTCTGTCCTAGTGAGGAAGATAATAATATTTCTTTAACTGAATGTTGTTAAAAGTTGAATATCTCAGGTAGTAGTAAATACCACGAAGGTACAGCAGGGTGACGTGACATCATGCTGAGAGGGGCTTGATACTTTAGAGAGGTGATCCGGAAGAGCCTCTGTAAGAGATGACATCTGACCCTGGCCTGACTGAACTGAGGAAGATGAGGAGCTCTGGCGTTATGTGCAGAGGGAACAAGTGCCAGCCTCTGAGACGGGAACTTATACTTGGTATTTGAGTAAGAGTGAGGTGTGGCCAGTGTGGTCAGAGTGTGGAATGAGGGAAAGAATGTAGGGCATGAGGACCTAGAAGGGCAAGTGCTACCTGATTGGGCCTTGCAGCTTGCAGGCCATGGGAGGAAGTGACATTTTGATTTGTTTGGTGGAAACCCTTTGGCAGAGTTGAGCAGGGTGGGGAAGTGCTCTTGATTACAAAAGCTACCCTGGCTGCTTTGGGGAGAATGACTGTAGCTGGGAGACAGAGTGGAGGCTGAGAAGTCAGGGGCAATCACAGTGACATGGATGAGAAGTGACAAATAGAATAGAAAGTGGTCTGACTACCAGTGACAGGCAGAGATGATAAGATTTACTAACAGATTGCAGCAAGTCAACTCAATTAGACGTCTTTGGCCAAGCACCTAGGCAAATGGCAGTGCCCCACATGACATTAGGGCAGTGATGGCGAACCTTTTGAGCTCAGCATGTCAGCATTTTGTAAAACCCTAACTTAACTTTGGTGCCATGTCACATATAGAAATTTTTTGATATTTGCAACCATAATAAAACAAAGATTTATATTTTTGATATTTATTTTACATATTTAAATGCCATTTAACAAAGAAAAATCAACCAAAAAAATGAGTTCGCGTGTCACCTCTGACACACGTGTCATAGGTTCGCCATCACTACTCTAGTACCTGTCGGCATAGGTACCTGCGGAACAGGCCACCCCTTCCTGGGCAGAGGCAGTGTGAAATGATCCCCAGATGGGAGTCATGCCCTGAGGACGTATGTGCGTCACCTGGGGGAAGGCTGGCACAGGCGTGCCAGCTTAATTATGTGAATGATTTCCTCGGACCCACTTGGGATTTCTGACCTCCACGGGGTTGCTGCTTTTTCTCAGAGTAACAGTCCGAGTGGCTGCGTAGGCGCCCTCCACCCCAACT